GCCTTCAACAAACACCAGTTCCATCCCCACCCTCATCTCTGCTCCTCCAGCTCTCTCTAGGATATCAAGAAATCAACTGGTTTCCCACTGTTACTCCCTCCTAGGACTAGAATCAGCATGGTGGTGATGAAATAAACATTTATTGAACACTCACTCTGGGCTGTAACGTCAATATCCTCATCCATAAAATGGAGATTTTCTTTGTACCTCCCACATTCTGAGGTCAAATAACTAGCCCAACCAGGCAGAGGACAGCAGCAGAATCTGAACCCAGGCAGCCGGGTTCTTCAACACTGTGCTAAGCAGCTTGGCCCTTAGTGGGGCTAGAGAGAAGGCAAGGAAGATGCCCACAGTCCTGGCGTCTAGAGCTGGCCACAGTGGTCCAGCTGCTCCACCCTCGGGCTATTCCAGTACCACGCAGGAGGCGTGATTTTTCATGCAGAACTCACACAATGCTTTGCCGAGCTGGATCCTTCAAGCCTGAAAAAAAGGGCCTTTCAGAAACTCACTGCCAAGGCTACTCTTTAAGGTCTTGTCCTGAACCCTTGACAAGCCCTCTTTAACATCCTGCCCCCTGCAATCTATTCTCCTGGCAGCCAGAACTACACTTTTAAAACCAAATCATATCACACCACTGCTCTGCTCAAGATTCCCAATGGCTCCCCATCTCACACAGGGTAAAGGCCAAAGTCATGACAACCACCTCCAAGGCCCGACATAGTCCTTGCTGTCACTCCCACACAACGTACACACTCCTGCCCCAGGGCCTTTGCACCTGTTGCTTTCTCTGCCTAGAATGACATCTTGCCTAGATGACACTAAGCTTGGTCCCCTTTCCTCAGATGTTCAAATGTCACCTCAGTGATGCGGTGCTCTTGCCGGCTCTCCGAGGCACCCTCCCTGCTTTTCTTTGACAGCACTTTTTATCACATGACATATTATATATTTTATATATTTATAACCTCTCCTCCACTCCTATGAGAACATTGGCTCCACAAGGGAGGGGATTTCTGTCTGTACTGTTGACTGCTATATTTCCAGCACCTAGGACAGACCCTAGCGCTGAGTTAGGTACACAAGAAGTACTGAGTGACAGATGAATGACTGATCTCATCTCTCCCTACGCCCCAATCACCCTATCTGTAAGATCCTGACCACTTGTTAGGTGACTAGAACATTGAGTAAATCAAATGGACCTTTAATATCACCTAGCCCTGGTTTCCCTTTCTCCAAAATAATAGGGCTGGACCAGATTATGATTCTTCTAGTTCTGAAACCTTCAAATGACCCCCCAAAAAAATTGGAAAAAAAAAAAAAAAAAAAAAAAAAGCCAAATGCTTCATTATAACTAGCCTATAGCTGGACTTACTTGATTATAAAAACTGCATTGCCTTTAGAATTCTCCCAGCCCCCATGCCTCTGAGAATAAGCGAAGTGTGGCTGCGGGTGTGCTAGGTGACTTGTAACCTGCACGCAAGGCCAGCATTAACCCCGAGTGTTGGGGTCACTGGTCTCGTAAAACCGGCCCAGGCTGGGTTACAAGGAAGTAAACCAAACCACATTTGGTTGTTTCTTAGGCTCAGAAACACCACCTCTCATGTCCCCCTCAATTTAACATAAATCCTTAGCAGCCTGTGCTGTTGCCTTTGGGGTTCAGCCAGAGGTTCTCTGGAGAAGTAACAACATTAGGAGTTCCAGACCAAAAGAAAGGCTCTGGCAGTAGAGCAAGCCCTGGTATAATAACAGTACTCCCAGCACAGCTGGAGGGGAGCCCCAAAATGGAGGGGCTGGGGTCTTTCAAGGTCATTCCCCACTAGGGCGATAAGGTTTAACTCTGACTTGGGGGAACCTCGGGTTTTGGTTTCCCCATCTGAAACAGGGACTAGATGAGTCTATGAAGTTTCTGTAAGTCTACATCCCACCTAGCCAATCTAACCCAAGTAAGGTCAAATTTACCAGCAGCATCCCCTCAGGCCACACAATGTTCTCTTGATGTTAAATGTAAATTTCACTTCTCTAGTAGATGTTAGGTCACTATGCAATGACCCGGCTTTGGTCTTTCCAAGGATGCTCAGTTGTGAGCTGCTCCTTCCTGGCCAGTTCCCAGCTGTGGCATAGCCCCAGCACCTGACAAGGGCTCCTGTAACATCTGTGAGCTGATCCTTCATATGCAGCAGCCAGCGAGCAGCGGGAGGGCGCAGTGTGAAGTACGTGCACCAGAGAAGTCACACCTGGGGAGACGCCTGATCCACCACTCACTGCCAATGGGGCCAGCTCAAGTCCTGTAAACCTCTCTGTGCTTCAGTGTCCTCATATGTAAAGTGTGACTAAGAGTATCCCCCTCCTAGGATTGTTATAAAAGATTCATAAATTAATAATAAATTAAGATATATAAGCCCCTTTGCTCAGAGCCTTACAAGTAAATGGACCAAATGGTAGTCTCTACTCTTAGACATTTCTCCTTTACACCTCAAGTCACACACAGCCCTAAGAACTGGGCTGGCCCTTCCTGGTACACACTCTGACACCAGGTAATGGCACGGGGCTCCGACACTGAGTACATGCAGCCTGGGCCAGTCAGGGAGAGCAAAGACACAAGCGTGCCGTCCTACCTGCCTGACCTGGGCAGGCATCTCCAATCCATCTCGGAGCTCTTCTCCCTGACTGCAGCCCTGGACTGATAAGATTCACTTGAGAACTGCAGAGGCACTGGTGAGGGAGAGATTAGAGAGTGAGGGCAAGGATCACAACTGGGTGGGAGTCATGAGGAAGGGACGGACTCTCCTCCTCGTCCAGTCCCAGCAGCACTCTGCTGTAGACACTGCGCCTGCCACACAGCACACACTCAGATGTCTGCTGGATCCTTCTGAGGCCTCCCACACAGCACTGGACCTGACGCAGCAGGTGCTCCTTGTATATGGGAGAGCAACGGAGAGGCTGGCCAGCCCCTCACCTGAGCACAGCATCACTAGGTAGAGCAGGTACCAGCTTTAGCAGGCCTGATACAATCACGTGCTTTATCATATGACTCTAGCAGGCCTGTCCCTGCCTTGGGTACAGTGACAGGGTGGGACTAGCATAGCCCAGGACCCCCTTCCTGTCCTGACATGTTGACTTGGAAAGTACTTTCAGGCATCATCAGTCTGGTCTGAGGGCCCCCACTGGCCTGGAGGCCATAGCCTCAGCACTGTTATCCTCAAAGTCCCATTACGGGGGCCCAGGAGAGGAACAAGTCACCATTCATGGGCCCATGTCCAGCTGTCCACCCCTGTGTTCTAGTCCACCCTCCCTGGCCCTGTACACATCCTCTCCATCTCATTCAGTGTATCCACACCACAGACACTCCCTGAGTCTGGCCAGGGGTCTGCCCACTGTTTGCACAGTGTGGTCGCTGCGCAGAGCTGGCACTTCCAGGGGAGAAGCAGTGACAGTTCACTGACCAGCAGGATAATGAAAGGGTGTGAGCACGCCTTGAGGGACACATGCCAGGGCCCTTGAAGAAGGGGTCCTGGAAGGCTTCTCTGAGGATGAAACCAAGACCTGAGGGATAAAAGGGCACCAGTCATGGGAAGATTAGGAAAAGAACATTCCAGCAAAGGGAACAGTGGTTGCAAAGGCTCTCAGGCAGGAGTGCATTTAGATCAGAGGTCATCAGATGACCACCGTTTAAGTATTTAAGTATAACCTGTGGCTGCTTTCCTGTTACACTGGCAAAGCTAGGAAGTTACCACAGTGCTGTGAAGAACAAAATATTTGCTATCTGGCACTTCCCAGGTAAAGGTGACCAACACATGGTTTGGAGTGTTAGGGAAAGCTGTAGGAGCATCACAGACAGACTGAATGAGGGGCGGAATGACACAAGAGGAGATTGGGGAGATGGCAGGAGCCCCATATTGGGTTGGTGGGACACAATGACCTCCAGCCTGGTGGCACCATCTTCACTCTAGCCATTCCCAACCACCTGCCAACAGGTGCCAGCGTGATCTCCCTGAAACACAGAGCTGGATACTTTATTCTTCTGTTCAAAAACTGGCATCAGCTCTCTCCATGGTTTCCCAAAGCATGTTTCAAAAAAACACTTGCTCCAGGGAATGAGCTTCAATAAGAGTTCCATGGTTAAGCAAGTTTGAGAAACATGGCATCGTTATCACTCTTAGATGTTCTCAAACACACACATTAGCAATTAAAGGCTCTGAAAAGTCCAACAGCAAAGAAATCTGTTGACTTTGTTAAACCCACTCTCCTTTAGCCACAAAATCCCTCTGTTCCACAAAAATCTATTACCATTTTCAAGAACTAGTGTTCTAAGACAAACTAAGACAAACTCCTGGGCTTGGCATTCGTGATCTGACCCCTGACTCCAGTAGGTGATCCTAGAGCCTGTTCCAGACTTTGTGTGGCCTGGGGAGACATCTCTCTTCTCTATTCCTTGCCTTCTTCCTGTCTCTGAAGCCCTCAAAAGGCCATCTGACTACTCTAGTGCTGTATGTCATTGCGTGGGCCTGTACTGTCCTCTTTCCCCCTCCTTGAGAAAGCCCAGCTTTCCATTGGGGTACGCCCCATTTCCTGCTAGCTCCTGGTCTGGCAAAGCACAATATTCCCCTTCCCTGCCTTGCAGTGACTGACTTGGGGCACTAGTAAAGTCCCCAAGTCAGGTCAATGAACTCCAGACTGGGATGGGGCTGGCTCCTCCAGAGTTCACACACAGTAGCTGAAATGGATTCAAGCCCAGGTCCCGCCATTGTGTGCTTCACCCTTAAATGTGCCCCAGTTTGAGTGGCCAAAGGCCAACTGAGGACTGAGTCATCCTTCGTGCCAGTCATAGGAGCCCACAGAGGGCACCAGGAGGGCTGGAAAGTGCTGCCCACCTCAATCCTCTGGGGAAGCATGGGTGTTTCTCAGCAAGGGGAGAAGGCCTGGACCATTTATCTTTTCAGGTTGTAGGTGAAGACCAATACAGGAATGTGGGTGCAACTTGGGGCAGGGAAGGGGGAAAGTACCTGCTTGCCGTGCTTTTCCTTCCTGCTGCACTGGCTCCGTCAGCCTGCAAAAGAAACCCAAAACACCCACATCAGCCAAGGCGGGAGAGAAATTCTACCCACGGCCACCCCACCAAGCTCCCACTCAACACCCCCTTTAGATATGGGATGGGCTGGCCACAACGACCTGCTCCATTTCTCCAGGCTGGGAAACTCTGCCCCCAGTGGTAAGAGGGAGTAAGAACATCCCCCGCCCCTTTTGCCTGGCCCTTTAAATCCAGCTGAGCACCCACTGCCAACACAAACCCAGCAACCACAGAGCCCTGGGGACTCGGTGAAAAGTAAGTAACCAGCTAAATCTGAGATTGAATTGCACCATTTTTATTTTCATCTGGGATTTCCAATAAAACAGTAGCCACAGATTTATTCCTACCAACCAGAGGGGGAAAATTCTACTAAGTTAAAATAGTTCGTCCCCCAACCTTATGAACAGAGGGAGGCAAGTGAGTGTCAGTTTCTTAATCTCTTTTATTCGGGGGTAAAGGATGGGGGTGCTAAGACTGGCCAAATGAAATTTACAGAAATCCTAAAATTCTGTTTCAGGTGGAGAGACTGAGGCTCTGAAGTCTCATGGAGCCTGAATGTCAAATGCCTGGGGACCTTATTCCCAGTCCAGAGCTGGGGGTTGGGGAGGGTGGCAAGGGGGAGTGAAGGGGAGCCCAGCTCTACAGACATGGGAATAATGCCTAGGTTCCCTGCACCACCACTGGTGGAAGATGCATTCCTTACCTTTGTTAAAACATTTATAATAGTAATCAAAGTTGGATAACGCAAGCTCAGAACTCTGGCACACATGCGTTTCCAAAATCAGAATCTTTCTAATTTTAGAAAGGTAATGTCGCACGTGTGTTCTATATTTTGAACAGCCCTGGCAGGGCGTGGGGAGCCCCAGTACTCAAAACACATTGATACTGCTATAGTGAAACTTAGGGAGTCAGCCTTGTATGACCTAAATGAACACAGGGACTAGCCTCTTCTCTCTTCAGGTCAAGTTCTGCCACCTCATCAGTTACTAAAAATCATTTTGTTTTCAAGCTTTTCAGATTTCAGGACTGCAGATGAAAGGTTGAGGACCTAAAATAAAAACAGCAGCAGCTACCTTTTGATAAGCGCTTGTGAGACATCGCAAAATGGCAAAACTTAATGACCAACTTGGATTCAGAGCCAATATATAAAAATAAAGAGATCTCATCCCCAAAAGGGCCCAATTTCAGCTTCTGAAAGCCACACAGTCCCATGTGACCAGGCAACTGGAGCTGGTTCTCCACAGTTCCTACCACTCCCTCTTGCCTTACCCCCAGTCATCTGCCTGGCCCCTGTAGGTATTCAGACTCGCTCCTACCCTTCGGCCCACCTCCCCATTAGGTGCTAGTGTATGGACATCAAATGTCTCATTTCCTCTTCTCTATAGTTCACCCAATACACATATACCATATCCCCAATTTACAAGTGAAGCACAGGTGGTCAAAGGATTGAATTCATCTACTGAAAACCTCTTGTTACAAGCCCAGATCTGGGTGACTTCGAAGCCCACCTTTCTCAGCGCTGTCATTTTTTATCTCCCTTCAAACATTCAGGAAAGCCAATCTGGAAATGGGGGAACCCACCTCGCCTACACTGGCCACGAGAGGGAAATGGAAAAGTTAAGGACAAATAGGAAGGTAGAAATATGAGACCTGGGAGGGAGAAATTAATGAGATGCTGATGTGTTATTTCAGAGGAAGAAACAAGAAAGCAGAAAATGGTTTGTCTATCAGTTCACTGGGAGCAAAAGGATCAATTACAGCCTCTTTGCGACATCTTGATTCCTCATAACTACTATGTAAAAGCAAAGGGGAAGTTATTTTAACGTACATATGCTAAGAGGCAGAAATGGTGGACAGCTTCAAAAAATGGTAAAATCCCAAATGATCTCTCACCTTTCAGACTCAACTCTGGGCACTTATTTTTAGCTTTTCATCCATTTTTTCATACACACTTTCAATGTTCTTTTTTTGTCCTTTTCCTTCACAATTTCACAGAGAGTCCAGTTTAAGTGCAGTGAACACATGACTAGGTAAGAGACATGAGTCTCTATTTTCGGCACACCTGATCATCACCACCTGTTTCCCTTTTATAATGTTTATGACATGGGAGCTTCTTATCACAGGTAGCCAACACACAAGGTTTTCCATCCGCTTTTACAAAACACGGACAAAACATGAAAAATGTTCAAACAGATGTCCAAACAAAACCTATAGTGGTGGGAGTGGGGAGAGAGACTGACTGGAAGGAGGAGTGGACCGCAGCAGCTGTGAAATGTCCCTTAACTGGCAGACATGGAAGCTGATAAAGGCAGGGGTGTGGACAGACAAGGGGCGCAAGGCTGCCCAAGACAGCGTGTGACAGTATCACAGCTTCTGTCAATCACAGCGTGGAGTCTGGCTGAGTCTGGCCCCACCATAACAACAGGGGCAGCTGTGGGGCCACCCAGCTGAAACCCAGAGTTCAGAGCACCAATTCGCACACAAACCCATCCTTACCCAGTATCATATAACTTCATTTGCAATTTGAACCCAAGCTGAAGAGCGCCTGGGTTCAGAGTCCATGGTCTAAGCTGGAGTCCTGGTTCTGCCTCCTTCTAGCGCTATAATCACAGGCAAGTCCCCTACGTGCTCAAGGACTCTTGTTTCCCTCATGTGCAAAATGGCAATACACTAATCCAAGGACCTACCTCAGGAGATTAGCATAAGATTTAAGTAAAGTTAATGTATGTAAAGGCACTTAGCATAGACTCAGCTGTAATAATAAAGATCACTAACAACCCTCACTACAGTTATAAAGGTCCAGTAGAATGAGGTGCAGCTTGAATGAAATTACGTAACAGAGGAGCAAGCTGGTAGGAATGGTGCCAGGGGTCATCCCAGCCTGGCTCTGGCCTGATCTGCACCCCAAATGGCAAGTAAGCATCTCATGAGCATCCACCAGACCCCAGAGGCCTGAGGTTTCTCCGGAGTCAGAATGACGCTGAACACAGAAACACAGGTGCCAGCAAACCTGGGGAGGGACCGCTTAAGTAACAGAGACTCTACTTCGGCTGCCACTGTACCATGTGCTCCTGAAGGATGTGGCTCCCTGGTCCTCCTCAGTCTGACTCAAGGTACGAAGACCTTGAACTTGGCTAAGTTCTTTTCTTTCCCTATGAAATTCTCATAGGTTAAAATGGGGATAGGAGGCTCGAGATTAAGTTGCATCATTGCCTCCTCCCTTTCATCTGCCACTGTCTGTAGAGCTGACCCAACTTTAACCTAATCCCTCTGTAGCAAAAAGAAATATGGTAAGGCACATGGATCCTTGAGAGACCCTCTTACTCACTCTTCCAGAAGATGAGGTAAAGGTATCCACACACCACTGCCCCAGGGTACCTGCCCCCTTCTCCAAGCTCTACCCAGTTCTTCTACACCAGCTTCTCCCTAGGATCTGGGCAAGGCTATTTTTGGTTTCATCTGGCCTTCCTCTTCCCTCCCAAATGAATGTTGAGTTGTTCTTTTCCATTCTCTTATTAAGGATTTTCTTGGAAAGAAAATATTATTCCAAACCCAGAAATTTTATTTCTAAATTTGTGCAAATGTAAGTTGTAAGACATTAGCTGCATTTCACATTTTGTGCAAATGGCAGAAACAGGCAATTCGTGTGCTACGGGATGGGGGCTGGCCAACGATTTCGATAAAATAAACCCTTTTTTAATTTAAATGCTAATGCACTGAATTAAAATTTAATAACTGAGGAAATTGAAAAGCCGAGCAGGAATATTGGAAATAAATCCAAGCAGAAACAGCTGAAATTAAAAATTCTAGAGAGTGGGAGGATAGCAGCTAAGCTGTCTTATATGATTACATTTTTTTTTTTTTTAGAATGAAGCAAAAAAAAAAAAATCCTATCTCTCGCTGGCTCTAGGGCAGTAAATCCACAGTGCTGTGATTTATTGCTCAATTTTCCTGAGGGAAAAAGGCTTTCTTTCATGCTGAAATATTTCATAAATTTCAAGCCAGCATAAATTCTTAATTTAAAAGTTATGGAGGTCACATTTAGTGCACTGGTACGGTTCCAAAATCTTAAAGGAATAGCAGCGACCAAAAAAAAAAAAAAAAAAAAAAAAATACAAAAAGGAGGAGTAGAATTTGCTCCTTTTTTTCCTTTTGGTTTTAATTCACAAGTTGAAATTTCATTATCAAAGATTTCTCGTGGATGGATAGAATCCAAGCACGTGGCAAACTGGTATGTATTTGGAAATCTGCAGCAAAAGATGAAGAGATAAAGATTTAATTCAATTATAAAAAGGCATTTTTTTTTAAAGCCACTTGAGGAATTTCTGGTAAAAATTTCCTCCCTTCATTGCCCGGGAAGGTTGAGGGTGGGGGAGGGTGGCCAATGTAATTGCTTCTCTTAGATCTCCAATCTTTTGTGCACACTGATATATTCATTTGTTATACAGCTGTTCAGCGGCGGAAAGAATGCTGGGGCGCCCATAATTCTAAGCAAATCAATCAAAAATTAATGATTTGTCATGCTTGCACAATGGAGGAAAACAGCTCCTTGGGTCCTGGCTGCCTGATCTCGAAAAATGAAATGCCTTTCTGTGATAAGAGAGTGGAGCCACAGACTCAGGAAGCTGAGGTGCCACCACAAATGTGGGGGCTTGAGCTCCCTTGGGCTCAGAGCGGGTTGAAGGGGCCACCAGCTTTCAGGGGGCAACTTCAAGATGGCGCCTCAGCCACCGGTCAAGCCCAGTCAGTACAGACATGGTGTGGCCCATTTCCGTGGTGGTCTAATTAGGACCCTGCCTTTTCCCTTCCACACAGAAACTTAAAAAGTGCTTACTTTCTGGAGACCTCAGTGACTCCTCCCCCGCTAGATTTGATTTGTCCCTGTTCATTGTTCTCCCAACATCACTAACACCTCACCACCAGCACCTCTGACCAACTCCATGGGATGGGGCTGGCCCTGGAGCACCCGCCTTCCCCCA